TTAATCAGGATATCAGGAGTCTTGAGATTCAGAAAAAAATGACTGTATATCCTGCTCTGTGGTCTTCCTCTTTTCCACCTGCCTCAAACTCTCCATTTAACATCCTTCAAAATATCCACTGTCACCTTTGAACCTTAACCATGTCGCTTTAATTTTGTCTCCAAAATGCTCAATGTGATGTCACTCCCAACAAAAACCTTAGCGTTTCCACAGTGCCATTGTCTCCAAAGGTTTCATTACCATCTAGTAAACTTTCCCTAACACTCTTGCTGTTATCCTTCTGTCATAAGACGTGTAAAGAATAAGCAATCACTGCTGTGTCCATGATCAATATTTCCACTCAGTGAGCTTCACAGTCCGGCCTACCTGCAGATAGTAGATGTTGTCTTCGCAGCTTGCCAGGTCCTTCATCTCAGTGTCCCTTTTCTTCAGCTCCTTGATCTCAGCCTCCAGACTATCTGTAACTTCTTGTGCATGGCCCATCTTCTCCTGGTTGGCCTGATCCATCACCTCCTCCAGCAGCTCCTGAAGACGTTCCATGGAGCGCAGCAGCTCCGACAGCACCTGCTCCGCTTCATTGTGCACCACATCAGCAGAACGCTGCGCACACAAGGAAAACACAAAACTAATTAAGGCCCCTCAACCACCATCATATTATTTAAACCCTGTAGAAAACCTGTTTTCCATTTAAAAGGAAAAAAAAAAAATTGTCTACCGCTGACCAACCTTCATCTGCTCCATCATCTTCTTCATGTCTTTCAGCTCCTGCTCTCTCTCTTTCAGCTTCTGTTGGTTCGCTGACTGCAGGTCGGACAGCAATTTCTGCAGAGACGCACGCCGTGACACGAGATCAGAGAAACAATCCCACAGACAAGGAAGCAGGTGTGTAGGTGGCACAGAAGACAACGTGAGAGGGTGGAGCATTATGAATGACTAGGCTAGGAATGTTGTTAGGAATGTCTTCAGCCTGGCTGCACCCGGCGTCGCACACAAAAGGAAATAACTGACTTCTTTCAAATAAACCTTTTATACACAATAATGGACAGCACAGAGAAGGGTGGATATGCTTTATTTATAGAATATTGACTGTAAACTTCCATTTACAAAATTATGGAGATTTTTCCCAACACCCAAACCAGTCATTTTAATTTTACTTTAGATCACCCTGGTAACTGTCTGACTGGCCCCAGTCATTATGTAGCACCCATCCTCTGCTTACCTGCTTCTCCAGCCTTTCGACCTTGGTGGACACGCTCTCGTGGCCTTTGTGCTGGTTGCTGGTGCACAGCCAGCAGATGAACATCTTGCACTGTCGGCAGACGAACTCCTGCAGGTATTTGTGCTGGGTGCAGATCTTTTCGGCCAGGTTGCCTGTCGGTGGGATGAGCTCATGCTGCTTTAGGGATTTCTTTGTCTGGTGAGGCTTCAGATGGGCCTCGCAGTAGGAGCTCATACACACCAGGCAGCTCTTGACTGCAGCTCGTTTTTCATTTTTGCACATGTCACATGGTACGACCGAGGAGGAAAGCTTCTCTTTGGCGAGTCGCATGGATTGACGCACTTCAGATTTGAGGGCTCCTTTGCGGAGCTGCTCCACAGCCTCTGCCAGCATGGTGTTCCTGGACAGGGAGGGCTTGGGGCAGAAGGTCTGACGGCACTGAGGGCAGCTGTAGATCCCTTTGGGGTCATCTTTAGTCCAGTAGTCCTTAATGCAGGCCATGCAGTAGCTGTGACCGCAAGGGATGGTGACAGGATCATTTGGCAGATCCAGACACACGGGGCAGTTAAACTGCTCCTCTGTCCACAGCTTTGCACTCATAATGCTGTTAATGAAAAAAAAAAAAAAAAAAAAAAAAAAAAAGAGTCAAAATGGTTAGCAAGTCAGAGACTTTTAAACACGCAAAGAATCGAAGAACAAGCTCCAGAGATTCAGAAGGTAGTGTGAAGCCTGGGTTCACAGGAGGAAAGTGTCTGTCACTCTCAGGTGAGCTGGGCGGGACCAGAGCCACCAGGCAGGTCTAGCGGGGAGAACGGGTGTCGGTGGAAAACTGTGGAATGCCAGGAAACCAAAGGTGTGAGTGGACAAATCCGCACATCACAAAGTATGGCACAGATATTCGGGCTCTTTATGAAAGTAAATATTACTACATGTAGTAGCAAAATCTACTTGAGTAGATTATTCCTTTATTATGAGGACAATTTAACATTATTAGATTGTAACGCTGAGGTATTAAACTCTAAGCAGCATATTACTCTTATTTAATTCTAGTCTTTTCAGTCTAGTAGTACATGACCTTGCGCTTAAGTCCCCCTATACGGCCACAAGATAAATGAGATTATTATTGGTATAGAAGAATTGAAAAATTCAGTCCTTGCTTTGTGGTAAACATTAGAATAGATGTGGTTACAATATAGAAAAAACTGACCTATCATCAGACAAATCAACAAAACCTCTGCCACAGAAATACAGAGAAATGCAGCAACTGTGTGATGCTATCATGTCAGCAGGGACCAAAATATCTGGAGGATTTCCAGAGTTGATGAGCCGTACCATGTATTACCAGACTTTCCAGCCCCTGGATGGATCTATGTCATGGTCTATTAAGGCAATTCTGAAGACAAATGGAGGGCCCAACCTGGTACTAGCAAGGTGCAACCAATAAAGTTGCCAGTGAGTGTACATACAGTTAGAATGTTAGATGTAGAAGTTTGTTTTAAAAGAAAATGAATTAAAACATCTTATAAAATGAACTACATCTATAAATAAAAACAAGACATTTAAATTTTGTTTCCAAGACATTCGTGTGTTGCTGAGATATCAACTGATGCTGAATTAAGGCCAGGGCTTTGCATTTCAACGGTGCTAGTCCTGTCTTCCCCGAGTCCACCTGAGACTCAACATTTTTACAGTGTTCACGTTGCTATCACTTATTCAAGTTATTTGTATTGCTAAATGTTTACAGGATATTTATTAAAAAAATAAATATAGAAATGTCAGAATAGCTGAAAGTTGTCTGGGGACAGAATATATTGTTTGTTAGTAAAACAGTGTGGTAAAAGTTTTCATTAACCAATGAGTAGCTTTGAACACAGAAAGTGTCTACAATGAGTTATGTTCAATTAATCCCTGCAAAATTCATGCTGACTGTTCAGTTTCAGTATTTTTTCCCCCCATAGTTACCTCTGGGGTACGTCAGTGAGATGGATAGCTCTAATATTTACATCAGTGTTGGGGAACTCCAGGTCTCAAGGGCCAGTGTCCTGCAGGTTTTAGGTGTGTCCTTGATCCAACACATCTGATTTAAATGGCTAAATGACCTCCTCTTGAAGTTCTCCAGAGCCCTGGTAATGAACTAATCATCTGATTCAGGTGTGCTGACCCAGGATTATATCTAAAACCCACAGGACACCAGCCCTTGAGGCCTGGAGTTCCCCCACCCCTGATCTTAGGAAGCCCCGCCCACCTGCTGTTGAAATATTTTGTTTGTGAAAGGCAACACGTCAGTTTAGCTTTAAGGAAAGGTCAAGGGAGTAAAAAAAAAAAAAAAAAGATACTTGTAGAAGTCTCAAAAACACATAAAATCTCTATGTATCAAAAATGATACAGGGGGTAACCCACTGAAGCACTGTGGCATGACCTAATAAGGCATGTTCAATTAAGACATCTGAGAAATACTGACAACCTAAAATAGTTTTGTAGGACTGTCCAAAATATATCAGCATCTTTCTGCAAGTTTCATGAGCAGCTATAGAACACATCTGATGGAGGGTGTTGCAATTAAACAATGAAAAATAGTCAACTTTCAGGTGTCTGTCCAAAAGACTGGGCACAGTTACTTTCCCAAAATGTCTCACTACCAGCATCAGCCTCCTTGAAAATAGGCACAAATAGTGCAAATCCAAATCCAGCTAATTTGTGTATTTTAACCAGCTTCCTTTCTGCCCATTATGCACTGTTTATTTTGGCCTCATTTATTTGGGAGGTTGCTCTGACTCCTTTTAATCTGCAGTTTCACAAAAGCTTTTACTGGATAATGACAGACTTCCTTTTGATCAGACAGTAAATGTGACACTACAAATAATACTCACCAACAAATTTTCACCGGGAACAGACTGGAAAGTAAAAAAAAAAAAAACCCGACACGTTTGCACGGTCATCTTTGAATAAGACTTAACTTTGGGTGAGGAACATGTCAGCTAAAGCAGCAGTAGGCAGGAGAGAGGATGTGGTGGGTATCTTTGGGCAGTAAAAATTTTTTTTCTTTAATATAAATGTTTTGTGCTCAGAGTCTGATGACTTTTCACACCATGATTGATGTCTACATGCTGGAAAAACAGTGGTAATTACAACGCTAACACAGTGTGAGCCTGTACCATAATCGGAAAACCCATTAAATATATTTGTTTTCCTCTCCACATGAGGATTTAAACTGCTGTTGCACATATCCAACTATTATCTTCCTGACCTTGTCTCTGCATTGTGTTTGCCTTCAAATAACTGAACTATTTGTCAGTTGAAATCTTTTAAATAAATAAAGACTGCTGAACTGTAACTTTATCATGAATAAAGTAGTTTCTGAGCCCCTAATCTCCACTATTGTACACTTTTATACCTGAACTCAGGTCTTTTATTAGTGTAACTACAACCACTCACTAGATGGCAGTGCTGCACTCATGTTAAAGCAATAGCCTGTAAATAACCCGTTCCACTTGCCGAATGTTGACAAAAGTGAACAATGTGCGAGTCATTTCTATTTAACTAAATTAAAAAGAAGCGGATAAATAGAACTAATAATATAAGGTAGTATATCGGCTTATCGCTGTTGCTACCCAGATTGACGGAATAAAAACGACTTAACGCTAACTCAAGAACAGACACGGCTTGCTTTAAGCGAACACGGAAGTACAAGGTGGAGACGCTTCTTGTGTCATCCAAAGAGCTTCTCTACTGTGTAGCATAGCGGTGTTGCGTGATTTGAACTAACTTGTTTTCATTTCGGAGCCATTTTTCAGTTTCGTTCAGATGCCAAATAATGTCGTTAAACGTCCTGGAGTCGGGGTCGGGGTGCTGGTAACGGACTCTGCTCACCCAGGCTGTGTACTCTTGGGCAAACGGAAGAGTGCGGTGGGAAAAGGGACATACCAGCTCCCAGGAGGTCACCTGGAGTTCGGGTATACATTGACGTTGTAGACTCCATTCATAAATCTGACATAGTTTTCTTCTTCTTCTTTCTCTTTAATTAAAGTGGTTGGCGTGCGACAACCAGGTGTAGTTCCGTCCCCTAACCGGCTGAAATATGGGGACGAGAGGTCCCACACCATCTTTATCCCATTACCTGTGATATATGCTAATGGGGCATTCTTCTCTGCTTGATCAGCTCAGATTTGCCTTAAAACTTTATGGTGAAAAGTTTTGATATATGTAATGATTGCTGCTAAATTTTTAGCTTCATTTATCAAATAGTTTTTACGTTATATTTAATTTAAAATGGTTTCTGGACCAATTTCCAATATGTTTTGTTGCACTTTAACGTCTGACGCAATGTTTGAGCATAAATGCGTCTACTGTCATACCAACCTTCTGCATATCCTCCTTCACAACAGCCACCAGTCATATTTGTGGTTTTCCTCTTTGCCTCCTGCCTGGGAGCACAATCTCTACCACTTCATCCAGCTTGCTCTGCAATTCCTCTCTCTTCCATATACATCCAAACTTTGGACCAAAACATTTTTTTGGCAAATTGGAAATTGTGAACAGATTACATTTTCTCAGTATAAAAATGAAAACAAAACAACTCAGGAGTGCTGCTAATTTTTTTTTTGCACTCCCATGCATGCAGACAATGGAGGCAGAAAGAGCTGAAATAGCCTTAGAAGCCCGTTAATGTACTTTAGCTAATGTTAAATAAGATGTTATTTTTTTATTTCATTCAAAGGGAGACTTGGGAGGAATGTGCCCACAGAGAGGTGCTGGAAGAAGCTGGGGTGGGTTTGGTGAACACCCACTTTGCATCAGTAGTTAACGCCATCAAGCTGGAGGAACAGTACCATTATGTTACCATATTCATGCAAGGAGAGTTGGACAGGCAGTCAGGAGAGCCACAAAACCTGGAACCAGACAAAAATGAAGGTATGTGAAGTGGGACTGCTGTTTTTCAGTGGGGGGAAAGCACCTCCACTAAGCACCCAGTGAGCAGCTGATGAAACAAAATGTGTTGCTTTCTCATTTTGCAGGCTGGACGTGGACACGCTGGGATGATTTTCCTCCAGAGCAGCAGCTCTTCATGCCACTGGCCCGCTTGAGGCAACAAGGCTTTCAACCATTCAGGAACAAAGACAGTTGACCCTGAAACTTCCAGTTATATTATGAAAAACTGTTAATCCACAAGGATAATACAGGAACACTGTTTAAAAACTGCTGTTGTCTCACATGTCTTTTTTTTTTTTTTTTACATTGCATACTGTATTTTCTGAAATAATGCAATAAATCTCAGTGACCCTGACCTCAAGGTCAGAGTGAAGTTTTGTGAAAATCTCGTGAATGCAATAACTTGAGAAAAAGGCAAGGCAGGATTTTGAAATTCATACCAGAGGTGCAGCTACTGGAGGCTGAGGGGTTGCATTCGCCACTGCCAGTATTTTTATTTAAGGCATTCAAGTTTCTCAGTTTGTTAGCCTTGACAAACAAACAATGCAAGAAAAAAGTGCATTTTACACAATGTTTATGTCCTAATATTATTGGGGAGAATCACTTTCTTTAAACCTTGTGAAAAAGGACATTTGCTGAGGAGATGCTCTGTAAGTACTATTCTATTTATTATAAAAGAAAATTTGAGTACAAGAATTCTACATTAACTGTTCTTTTTCTTTCCAGCAAATACTGAACCTTTAAAGCTTATCCTGTTTCTAAATCTGACTTTGAGGTGAAGAAATAAATATGAGTGCCTTATACAGCAGGATGGCTGAAATCAAACAGCTCTCCACCTCACATGAGGGTGGCTCCAGTGACACCCGCTGCTAACAGTATGGACCAAAGGGTCACAGCAGCGTTGGCTACAGCACCGCTAAAGGTCTTGTCGTGGGCATAGGTGATGATGTGCAGAGCCCCGCTGTAGGCCTCCTCACAGGTAGGCTGGATCTGGTCTTCAGGAAGCTCGAAGCTGTATGTCCCGTTATCTCTGAGCTCAAAGGTGAAGGTTAAGGGGATCCCCTGCATTCGAGCCCAGTCTCTGGATGAACCAGAGTTGGCGTCTGGAGAAAGAGTTTAGCAGTTACATTTCTGAACCACCTAAAAATCCTTCAAACATAATATTTAAAGATATGGGCAGTTTATTTTATTATAATTAGCAGCTGATTTGTAAACTCACATAGTACATCAGGCGAGGCTCCTACAGTGTAGTTCATCCCGTGAACCTTCCAAATTGCTTCTGCTGCACCCTTTCCGACCATCATCTGAGGAATTAGAAAGGAATTTTTGCATACAGTCACTTAAACATGAGTCCACAGAATCTGGAGGTGTATGTTTTCATTAATAAAAGTTCAGAGGAAAGATATGAGATGCCACTAACTGTATAAGGCAATCAATACTGTTTTAAAAGTTATGGTGCTCCATGAGTATTTGTGACCTACTGTTCCCTTATCCTATTCTATATGTTTATCCTTTGATTCTGCTGGAGTAGCTTTGCATGATTTATGGTTCATCTTAATCCTTTTTGTACAGAAGTTAATGCTGGGTTTGGAAAGTGAAGATACCCAAGTATAGATATACTGAAATCAGACTAGTGTTAATAAAACTTCCAAATTAATTTGTACTGTAAGCTCCAGTAGATTTATTGGACAGGCTGTGATCAGTTCAGCTGTGTTGTTACTCCTCTTAAAATTTACTGTTCTTTGTGGACTTTGAGTTTTCATGCATCTATAATGGCTGCTTTCCAGCCTCTACTCAGTTAAAAGCAATTAAAAGTACTGAATCATCAACGCAAGTTAGAGAGCATTATTTTTCTTTATATTTTCTTTTGGTAACTAAGACTCAGTCGTGTAATTTTAATATCAGCTAGCTAAATAAAATCTAGCAAAGCCAGACATATAAAAATGTCTTTACATTATCTGGTATGGGATGGCTGAAATAACAAGTGTGCATGGGACATGGTGTCACATGGTTTATATTGTGATTGATTATTTTTCACCTGCAAATGTTCCACATCAAAATGGTCCTACTAGATTCATCTTAATCACAACAAACGATCTGCATCAGGAGTTTAAAAATTATATGTAATCTCAGAAAATACACTCTCCAAAACCAAAGTAAGTTTTGTACCTTTTAAGAGGTAATGCAGAATTTCACTGCTGTACTTATTTGTATTTTACAGAGATCTTTCCTAAAGCTCTGTTGACAATTTTGTACCACAAAGTAAAGGTAAAACAATGAACTCTATCTTTTTTCTTTTTTTTTTTTAAAGTAGAAAATTGGTTACATGACAATGCATTAATTTATTTTGATACAGTTAAAAAATATATATTATACATCATACTGTTGGAAACAGATTAGTGTTTATATTAGCTCATTCACAATATTACTGACCGCTAAAAGCTTTATCTAACCCATATCTAAAGTCAGCTTGACCTACATGTCTTTGGAGGGTGGGAGGAAGCTGGAACCAGTCACCAGGCACCGGGATGAGTGTGACAACACTAATGTCTGCCCCACTAGGCTGCCATTATACAAGACTGATATGAAATGAAACTTGTCAGAATGCTATATATATGTCTTTTATTTAACAGCAAAAACTTAAACCCTTGTAGCTGTTCTATATATCTGCGATTCACTGATGGGTGAAGTGAATAGCAGTGATTATCTCTTCATCATGGCACCTGTTTGTGGGTACAATGTATTAGGGATCAAGTAAACAATTTGTTCTCAGAATTGAAGTGTTAGAAGCAGAAAAGTGGGCAAGCTTAAGTGAGTAATTGAGTAACAGGCCACACAACTGGGTAATCTTAAAACTACAGCTCTTGTGAGGTGTTCCTGGTCTGCGGTGGTCAGTATCTATCAAAAGTTGTCCAAGAAGAAAACATTGGTGAAACAGCAACAGGGTCATCGGTGGCCAAGTCTCACTGAAGCATGTGGCTTCAGGCTGGCCTGTTTGGTCTGCTCCCACAGACAAGCTACTGTAGCTCAAATTGTTAGACAAATGTAACGCTGATTCTGATAGAAAGGTGTCAGAATACCCGGTTCATCACAGTTTCTTTTGTATGGGGCGACATAACTGTAGACCAGTCATGTTGCACCAGGATGCAGAGGCAGACAGAGGCAGTGTGATGCAATTTCCTGCTGGGAAACCTTGGGTTCTACCACATGGATGGAAGGACTGACAGTACTATCTACCTACCTACCTAAGTATTGTTGCAGGCCGTGTACACCCTTTCATTTTATGGTTACAGTATTCCGTGGTGGTTCTGGCCTCTTTCAGGAAGAACAATGGAAAACTGGTTCAGGAATTACTTGAGGAACACAACAATGAGTTTGAGGTTTGGGCTCTGCCTCCAAATTCCCAAGATCTCAATCCAATCAAGCATCTGTGGGATGAGCTTGACAAACAAGTCCAATTCTTGAAGGCCCCACTTTGGAACTTACAGGACTTAAAAGATCTCATGCATCTTGTTGTCAATCTGGGAACTACTTTGGGAAAGATGAGAGTCTTTATCAGTGATTTATTTTGAGTGTTTTGGATTCCTAACAAGATTAGAAGAATTGAATCCCTAAACGACCAACCAAAGTTTGGTATTTTGGCTCCAGATTTTTGACCCAATACCTCATCTGCACTGTTCTTTCTTGGCACATGAGGATGAATTTAATGTCCTAGTGCATTTACCCATTTCCTTACTTGCTATCCTCTTTATTAATGTAAATGCACACAGATATAACCATTGTCAAGCTATAAAGAGTGTCTCAGAAAAGTGTAAAAAAATGCATCACTATATTTGTTGATATAAATACCAGCTCATTATAATTGGGGGCAGTGTAGTTGGGGTGTCCATAGGGAACCAGGATCAGCTGGCCGTAGGAGTGGATGGTGAGGAAACACAGGAAGATGTCCTTTTGGCTTCCTACAAAGTCAGTTACAGCCTTGGCCTCAGGCTCAGATGCTGGTTTGGTTCCAGGGTAGGTGTTTGAGCAACAGTCAAATGATACCCCAACGGCTGTGCAGGCAAAGAAGGAGAATATGAATTGCATATAATATTAACATGATTATTTTCACATTCTATTAACACAAGTTTACCTTTTGAAGTAGTAGTAACCCCTGGACTGAAGAATTAGGATACAAATTACAGTTCCTCTTTAGGCTGCTTCCCAAAGTGAGTCAAACCTCATAGACTCCTGTTTTAATTGTTTTTTTGTTTTTTTTTATAGACAAGTAGTTAAACAGTGTCTCACCATTGCTAATTCAAGTCACTGAACTGCATATCGCTATTGTTTTTGCTGTTTGTTGCTGTTGCGATATTTGCAATGGAATTATCTAACAGGTAATGTAGCCTGGTACGTGGATGAGCGGTGATTAAAGTTCTGGTATTTTATCAGTTTTGTTGCTTAGTAATAATTGACAGATATGTGTGTCTATACTTAATGGAGCTTGCTAACAAAGCCAATAGCTTTAGCAGATAACTTTGTACTCTACCCTCATCTTCAAATACTTGTGACTCTAAAAAAAACAAAATGGAAGTGACCAAATGCTGAGGCTTCAAAATGGAGTCCAAAGTCTCTAGGTGATGTCATGATATACACTTTGACCTTTGGAGCATATATCTATAACTTATAAACGTTTTTTGGCTACTTGGTTCAAACATCAAACAAAATATGAGTCTGTTAACATTGTTTCCTATTCACGGATGAGGTTTAATGGTTTTTGTATAGCGTGATAAGCTAAAGCTACATTAGCATTAGCATCTTGATTTTGGCAAATTGGAGGAAGCAAAGTTTAGTGTTTTCTTTGCTTTCATCTTTACTTTTAGCATGTCTTTCTCCACTAAGCAACACTGAACTTCAATACTAGCATGTATGTAGATACAGTCACTGTAAAAAGGAAGTTGTCATGATCCTGGGTTTTGTACCCTCTTCAACAAGATGGCGCCGAGTATGGCAGCCTCGTCGCGAGCTCCCCCAAGCAACAGCTTTTTTCTGTGTTTAATTTTACTTTTCCTTCATTTTTTCGCGAGTAGCACATGTCTCCTTGTGTACGACCGACAAACCTTACTGGACATAAAATACGGTCTTTCTTATAACTTTCCGGAGTTCAAGTTTTGCAACACGGACGCTCCGTTTGCAGACCCCCCATTCATCTCACCTCAGACGCCTTTGTTCTCTGGCCCTGGAGGCCGCAAACGCCGACGCAGAGGGAGAAGATCTGGCGTTCTGGTTCGA